CTCGTAGTGTAGGGGTTAGACCTTACTGACAGATTCAATGTCCTGTCAGCTAAACCTTCCTCTCAAAGATTCTTCTGTGCAGAATACAGAAGACTTAGAAGAAGAGGAAACTTTCATATACTAGTATTTGGTGAGTTTTCTGTCAGTTTTGTCACATAGTTATGTTGAAACCCACTAGTCAAGCCCCCTATTCACACTCACACATACAGAAGGGCTTCAGTAAATTCATGGGAATTATTCATTATCTTTTATTCCAATTTTTTTCCATGGACTTTTTGAAGTACTTTGTATGTGTTCAGTGACTAATAACATTTTCTATACAAATAGTTAAGGATTCAGAAAGAATCCTTTCTTTCCTCCCTTCCCTACTTAACAGAGTCCTAAACAAACTGGTGAATGGAGGTGGTTGTGGTTGTGTGCCATTGAGTTGGTTACAGCTCATAGCAAACCCTCTATAAGGTTTTCTTTATGGGAGCATTAAGCCTCATCTTTCTCTCAAGGAGCAGTAGGTTCAAACTGCTGACAGAAATCTTGAAGTTAGCCACCCAATTTGTAATCCACTTTGCTACCAGCGCCCTTCGGAGGAAGCTCAAAATACTGACTATGCCAGGGTGGTGCATTAGGACAAAACAAAATGTATAAACAAGCATTTTGAGTTATATGTGGTTGCCTGGCTGCCAACTGAGCTTCAGTTAACAGTCTTCTGTAATTATTGAAATACTTTATTGAATTGTACCTGTATTTTCTTTTTTAATAAGAATAAAATGGAGAAATAAAAAGTTGGGATAATAGTGATAGCATACAATATACATATATTTATTTCCATGTTTCATTTCATTTTCACTGTGTTAAATGTAAAACTTAGCCTTTCTCTTAGGAATAAATGGGACACAGCAAGTCTGATAAGTAAGTTTAGATAGTTCTGTGTAGTCGTGAAGAGCCCAGACTTTGTAGCTAGACTGATTGGTTTGCTATCTTGGTTTTTCATATATATAATGTATATAGACTTACACAAAATATGTAACCTCTTATTTCTAGAGTTTAAATGCTATTTAAATAGAGTTACTGTGATGATTGAGTAAATCCATATAAAAACACTGGTTCCTGGATGTAATGAGCTTTTCATAAGTGATAGCTTCTGTTATATTGTTGTTTTTAAGTGCCATCTAGTCAATTGCGACTCATACGACCCTATATAGTTTCTGAGGAGCAGCTGGTGGGCTTGAACCACCAATCTTGCTCTTCAAACCGACCTTGCAGTCCAGAGCATTAACCCACAGCACCACACCAGAACTCTCCTACAAGCTATCATTAAAACAGATATTAAAATTGAAGTGTACCTGGTTAAGGGGAACGCATTGTGTTAATACTCCAAATGTAAATGAGGTTGCTCTTTAGAGGTATTGTTGTTAAGTACCGTCAAATAGATTCATACTCATAGATTCTGTAAAGTTTTTGAGGCTTTAGTGATCTTTGTGGGAGCATAAAGCCTCAACTGTCTACCATGGAGTGTGGCTGGCAGGATCGAACCACAGACCTTGTGATCCACAGTCCGATGATTATTGAATGGAGCCAATGCGTTCCTCTTAGTTAAGTATACTTCAGTTTTAGTATCTGTTTTATTAACAGCTTGTGGTTGTTGTTGTTGTTAAGTGCCTTCGAGTCACTTCCGACCCATAGTGACCCTGTACAGGGTTTCCGAGTGGTGGTGGTGGTGGTGAAGTGCTGTTGTTAGTAAGTAGCTCTAAACTTCAGTAGTATAATTTCTTTATTAAATTTAAGTGGTTTTGAGAGGTTAACATTATTTTTAAAAAGAAAGGAACCTTCAGATCTTAATGTATTATCTTTCCTCTAGTTCTGTATTCCCCAAAATATGTTCAGTAGTACAAAGTCTCTGGCGATGCTCGTTGAAAAACGCATTCTGAGTAAAGATGAGTTTGGAAGATGCCTTGGGTTCAGAAACATCATGGATTTTGCTTAAATTTGTATGGCTAGGATTTCTTATCCCATTATTATACTTCTGGACAACCCAAAGCCTAGCGTGTTGTACTGCTACCTTCATAGTCAGTGGTTCTAAGCCACTAGTTGCTCCATAGGAGAAAGATGAGGCTGTCAGCTCTGGTAAAGATTTACAGTTTCTGAAAACCTAAGGAGCAGTTCTTCTCTGTCCTAAATTGTCACTATGAGTTGGAATCGACAATAGTGAGTTTTGTTTGGTTTTTGCACATCGTAAAGAACTGACATTCCAAAACATGCTTGGAAAAAAGGATGTTTAGAAAAAACATTATAGAATAACAGGTTTAATGATGATTCTGGTGTGTACTGAATTATAAAGAATCTTTGGTGATGTTGTTTGTTTGATATATATAAAAAAAAAGAAAATAATTTTTATCAAATGAAAAATCATTTTAGATGTCACTAGAAAGAGATGAATATAAATTGCTAAATTTTTTTTTTTTTTTATTTAGGACAAAACTTTTGGTCTAAAGAATAAGAAAGGAGCCAAGCAACAGAAGTTCATCAAGGCTGTCACCCATCAAGTTAAATTTGGTCAACAAAATCCACGTCAGGTGAATAAATTGTGTATTTTCTTCACAGGGATACAGTATAAAACATCTGTTACAGATAGGTGTATGTTAACACAAAATGAAATCCTACTCTATAAACTTTCCTGCATCTTACCTTTCTTAACTCGGCAATACCTCTTAGATATTCCTCCAAGCCATTTGATACGGCTCTTGTTTCTTTTAATGGTGGTGGTTATGTGTGGTGGAGTCTCTTCCGATTCACAGTGACCCAGTATAGAGTTTCTGAAGTTGTAAATCTTTACAGGAGCAGAAAGCCTCATTCTGTATTATGGGTGTACTGTATGTATGCATTTTACTATTCATAATGATTTCTTTTATGCTTTCTGATTCTAAAAGCAGTACTGTAAGAAATATCCCTTGCACATGTATTCTTACATATGTGGGCTGTAATAAAATTTATAATTTTAATTTCGTTGCATGATCACTTCCACAGAGTCTGTAATACTTCACGCTTTTTTTTTTTTTTTTGCAGTGTATGTATTATAGGTGCTAAAGTTCTTTTTAATGTTTTTCAGTCTGAGAAGTATAAAGAGGTATCATGTTGTTTGTTTCTCTCACTATTAGTTATTTACAGTTGTCTTTTCATATGCTTCGTTGGCTCTTTGGAGTTCCTCTGTGTGATTTGACTATTCATATCCTTTGCTTTGAGGGTTTCTTGTCTTCTTTTTGTCACTTTATGGGGTTACCAATGTGGAACTTCAGTGGAACGTGTGCATTCTAAATGTGAACCTTCCTTTTCAGGTTGTTATTAAGGCATATTTAAATCAAGTAGGAGTTCTGGTTTGGTGCTGTAGGGTAAACCTTGTACTTAAAACCACAAGTTTGGTGGTTCAAACCTACCACTAAGTATTGTTGTAGAGTGCCTTGGAATTGGTTCAGACCCACGGCAACCCTGTATAGGATTTTCAAGGAGCTGGTAGATTTGAACCACTGACCTTCTGGTTACCAGTCCAGTGCTTATCCTCCAGCACCACACCAGGAGCCTAAACCATATTTTTTTAAAAACACATATTAGTTTGATTTCTAACTTCTAAACATTTTGAAAATGGTGTTTGAAACTCCCTTGCACCTCTGAGCCCCACAAATGTTTGGATGGAGTGATGAACAAAGGATATTTTAATTAGGAAATGTGACTTGCCTTTTTTTTTTTTTAAATTTTCCTCAGTTTTCTTGTTTAGACACCGTCAATATGATCAAAATCAGGATTGGGAATGTCTTTGACCTGACTGTGGCATGTAGCCATTTCGTTCGTAAAATTTCCTTTTCCCATTTTTTTCCTGGTTTTCTATTTCTATGCTGTTTCTTGGTCTCTCTGTCTCAAACCAGAACCTTATCTCTAGGCGTCAAGATATATACTTTAAAAATAGTTCTAACCTGCAAGCATCTTGTACTCAATATGTCTAAACTGAGCTCTTTCTACTCCCCACCCTGAAACCTGTTCTTCCTGTATTCCCTGTCATGTTTAACAGTGCTAGCCATCCCCATGGTAATCTTCAACCCCTCCCTCTGCCGTATATGTCATGTTCAGTCATTCACTTAGTCCTGCATCCTTAAGAGCTCTTCCGTTTCCATTCCTTTCTCTTCTATAGCTCACTACCAATGCCTATTTTAAGCTCTTATATTTTCTTGCCCTATCACTGTTACAATAGCCTTCTAACTTTTCTTCCTCTCTGAACTCCTTCCAGTCCATCTTACACAAAGCTGCCACCTAAAATTTGTAAAATACAACCTGATCAAACTATCAGTTGTACTTATCTACAGATACAATCCAGACTTCATTGATTTTTGACAAACACCTTCTGAAGACCTCATCCCTATTCCTTTGCGTTGGCATTGTCTTCCTCTTACATATTCTGCATTCCTTTTCTTGCACATCAGAACACATCCATAAGGTATCAGCTCACATCTAATCTTCTTAGCTTCACAGACATTCTTTGTTCCTAGAGCACTGTGTCAGTAATGGTACTTAGCACATTATATTAGTGTTATTGAAAGACCTGTCTTCCCACTAGATTCTGAGCTTCCTGAAAATAATCTGCTTTGTCTTTGCATCTCTATATTCCCTGTCATCTAACCTTTCTACTGGCACTGAGCTGATTCAAATCCACAGTGAGTCTGTATAGGATCACCAAGACTCCATTTTTATGGGAACAGATATCCTGACCTTACCTTTTTCCCTCAAAGTAACGGCAGGTGGGTTTGAACCAACAGCCTTGGAACTAGCAGACAAACGTCTAACCCAAAGTGCCAGCAGGGTTCTTTATCATCTAACATAGCACCTGACATACAAATGTTGGGGTGAACTCTAAAAATACTAGGTGTGTAAATTGTGTTCTGAAACTATGTCATGTGCCATATTTTTGTTGTTGTCCTTTTCAGATCTCCCATATTGACCTAGCCCAGCATTTTTCTATAAAAGCACTGTTGATCCTTTGGGTGGTACAGTTCTTTAATGTTGTGTGTCTGCACATGCACATTTTTGGATGTTTCATAATGTACCCATCCATTTCTGGGGAGTTGGTTGTTTTCACAGGGATGACATGCCAATTGAAAACAGTTGTTAAATGCTGGGCATGTATTGAAGACTTAATAAATGTTTATTGCTGTAAACATGTATATAACATCATAAAGGTTTAGCAGTTTGGATTAATAGTATAACCACAATGTTCAGTGTGTGCTTGGAAGACTTTTATAACAGTGATGTTATTATTATAAAGTAAGAGCTAGTGGTTAAGAATGGGGCTGCGAACCTGAAGGTCAGCAGTTCGAAACTACCAACTGTTCCACAGGAGAAAAATGAGGCTTTCTGCTCCTGTAAAGATTTACAGCCTCGGAAACCCTGTACAGGGTCGCTATCAGTCAGAACTGACTCCACGGCACATCACCACAACCACCACCATATACATCTAAGTATGCATATGTGTTAGTTATTTTGGTGATATATATAAAACAGTTTATTATATGAAATCAGATTTTTACATTTTACATTTGGGGATCTAGGTAGCACAAAGTGAAGCAGAAAAGAAATTGAAGAAAGATGACAAGAAGAAGGAATTGCAGGAGTTAAACGAACTCTTCAAACCTGTAGTTGCTGCTCAAAAAATAAGTAAAGGTAAATTTTAAACTTCAAAGGTATTATTTTTATCAAATATAATTAATTTTTAGAACCCATAATATTACTTTTTTTTTCAGATTATAAGCCAATTTATTTGTACCGTGTGTGTGTGTGTACTTCTGGTGTGGCACTGTAGTATCAGCACTGGACTACAAACTACAACGTTGGCAGCTCAAACCCACCAGCTGCTCCTTGAAAACCTTTACAGGGCCCAGGGCCACTGTGAGTCAGAAGTGACTCGAAGGTGCTTAATAACAACACATAAATATGCACACAGTTATATCACAGCCATTTGACTCTCACACTAATGGCGATATTAAAATTTTTCAGTCTACTAGTTTTGTCTGTATTTGATGGTGGTGGTAATGTGCCGTGCAGTCGATTCTGACTCATAGTGACCCTGTACAGGGTATCCGAGGCTGTAAATCTTTAACGGGAGCACAAAGCCTCATCTTTCTCCTGTGGAACAGCTGGTAGTTTCGAACTGTTGACCCTGAGGTTAGCAGCCCTATTCGTAACCACTACGCTACCAGAGCTCCTTGTGTTTGTTGGTAGGTAAGGCAAAGCTAGAGTTTTGTTAACTACAAATCCTTGATGTTCGGCAGTATCCCTCCATTTCTGTTTGTTTCTCTTAACTTCAACTTCATAAGTGGCTATGGTATAAACTACATGTTTATTTGATTTGCCACTACCTGTCCCTTCTCATACTTAGAATAAAATAAACAAAAATAGGTATAAAATACTATTGGAAGAACTTTAAAGAAATCCTCCACTACTCGCCTGTAGTAGGGATTTTTAAAAAGCGTGGCGCTATAGGGTAAGCATTGAACCACAAGGTCAGGAGTTCAGACTCAACAGCTGCTCCTTGGAAACCCTATACAGGGTCTCTGAGTCAGAACCAACTTGACAGCACTTGACAACAAAAACACATTCACCTATAAGTACTATTTTCTCCTCACATCAGTGGATGGAAATGGCAAGTAAACAAAAAGTAATTCTGTGTCACTTAATACAGGTGCAGATCCGAAATCTGTGGTATGTGCATTCTTCAAGCAAGGGCAGTGTACTAAAGGAGATAAGTGTAAGTTCTCTCATGACTTGACTCTGGAGAGAAAATGTGAGAAGCGAAGTGTTTACATTGATGCAAGAGATGAAGAACTTGAAAAAGGTATATAAATAGATTATATATATATATATTTTAATATTTTCTTTATTAAAATTATTTTTCGTGTGTTGTATTATTAAGATAGTTAATAGTTTGGGAAATATTTTCAGTCTTAGTAGAATTGTTATCATAAACAATCAATTATTCATAAAATCTAAATTTATCAGTTTTTATTATGTAAATGAAGGTGATTTAAAAGTTAGTGATTTACTTCTTATTTATCTGTCGTCTTTTCCTCTATTACCACATCCTCCGCTGCCTAAACTACTTAGGATGCTTATATGAATAAACTCACAATGCTATTTAACCCTACCTGTGCTGTGCTGTTTTACTGAAAATGTTTTGGGTCATGAATCTTAAAATACATCATTCCTGCCTGTTGAAGAATATATATATAGTGTATATTCTGAGCCATAGATGAAATGATCATATTTAATGTTCGTATCTCTGTTTAGATACCATGGATAATTGGGATGAGAAAAAACTGGAAGAAGTAGTAAACAAGAAGCACGGTGAGGCGGAAAAGAAAAAACCAAAAACTCAAATAG